GCTACAAGGTTGCTGGATATGCTTAATGAGTGTGGGTTATGTTAAGTTGAGGGAGCAAGGAAATTGAAGTTTTGGACAAGGAAGTAGCATGATGAAAATGTGGCATTTACCGTTAACATACATAAATTCAACATTCAACGTTTACAGGTCCAAGTACAAGAGGAATCCAGCGTTTTTGTTAGTGAGGAATTTTATTTTCTGGCTTCATATTATCAGGAAGAATGAAGAAAGAGAAACAACAAGGAAGAAGAGGGGAAAACAGCAAAAGATTCCTTTGGATTTGAGTTTACTTATTTGAGAGTTGATTCAAAAAGCCGCAATTGATGAATCGCAAAAAATTAAAAATGATTTCTTGTTTCTATTGGATATCGAAGAAAGAAAACTGAGGAGTTGAGGAGATGAAAGAGTAGAATGCAGACGGAGAGGAGAGAGAAGATTTGAGCCTCTAACAGAAACTTTCTCCTTTAAGTAAAATTCAGTGAATTATATTTATAAAATGATGAGATATATTAATTTAGTTATCTATCAGCTTTTTATTGGATGGGATTACCACGTCAGTTGGTATCCCGTTGTATGGTAGAATTTCTCCTGCCCTAAGAGTGACCAAAGGCATTAAATGGAACCGTCCCAAAAAAGGAAAAAAAGGCATTAAATGGAAAGTAAGAAACGGCGGCAAGTTAGCCATTTTTGTTGACTCATGTGGTCATTTGTTGGACAAAATCGCCCCTGCCTACGTTGTAGCTAGCTGGCGGTGCCGCGAGGGTAGCTAACAGTGCTGCATTCCGGGTACAACAGGGTACATTATTCCCAGTGTCAATGTTGGCGTCTTATTTATGTATTGTCCAGAAGAAAGATTAAAGCTTGAACTAACAAAGTTCTAAATTTCAATCGTAAAGACCGTCCGTATATGCTTCAATTGCGGGACGGAGCCAGACTTTTGGGTTGAGGGGGGCGAAATTTTCACCGTCCGCCACCTTCCTTCCATTTCTTTCATTTGAATAAATAATTAAATTAAAAAAATAAAATAAAATAAAATAATTTTCCCCTTTTATCTATTTCTCTCAATTTGAATATAATATTAATCATAGATTTTAAATTTAATCCATAATTTTCACATAAAAAAATTATATCAACTTTATATTAATCATTAATTTTATGAGTAAATATATTACTTATAATATATGTATCAAACTTTAA